GGGGAAAAAAAAACCCAAAACGGGGGGGGGAGGTGGAATCAGCCGTGATACAAAAGCTTTACTGTCCTCCAACATCTTCCATCTGAGGCTCTCAAAGCCCTTCGCAGGCATTAAGTGAGCTTTGCACACCACATTATAGTAGGCATGTATAGTTATCCCCATTTTACAGCTGGAAAAAGTGAGGCACAGAGGGAAAGTGACTTGCCCAACACCACCCAACAGGTCAGTGGCAGAGCTAGGAATACACCCCGGGACTCCAGGCTCACTGCTCAAACCAAAGACATGCATAGCATGACCAGATGTCCCGATTTTATAGGGACAGTCCCGATTTTGGGGTCTTTTTCTTATATAGGCTCCTATTACCCCCCACCCTCTGTCCCAATTTTTCACACTTGCTGTCTGGTCACCCTAGACGCGTGCCTCTTAGAAACATTCAAATCGCATTTCTTTTCTCTAATGATTTGTCTGGTTTAAGCACCACATTTTCCTCGCTGTGTTTCTAACAAAGCTGCAATTTACAAGTGTCAGATGGGTTATTTTTTATGTCCCAGCACCACTGAAGCCCACGTGAGTTAACTACTGGGCTGGAGTTGATAAAGGGAGCACAAAACACTGGTTTGGTGTAGGTCCTATAGAAATGGCACGTTTTGGTATGCAAAAGAGAGGATTTTCAGTGTCCGGACAGGTCAGTTATTGGTGTTAAATAGCTCATATTGTCTGCCCGGTGTAGTTTACAAATGTCTCAACTGCTAAGCTGTTTGTAGTCATCAGTCCCATACAGTGGTTGTCACGTAAAGCACAATTCAGTTCTCTATGTTGACTCTGTGTATTTATAAGGTGGTGTTTTGACTCAGGGCCAAAATATACAACTGACCGTTCAGACTATTATCTTCTTAGGCATAATCTGTCACCTGCCTGTGACAGCTACCCATCATGCCTGAGATTTGTCACAAGTGGTCTAGAGCAGGGACAGGTGCCAGTGTAACGCCAAAAGACCCCATTTGTTGGTGGGCAGGATTGAACCTGGGACTCAGTGCATGAGTCTCTACTACATGAGCTAAAAGCCAACTGCCTGTTAGATAAAGACTCATTTTCTCTCTCTCGCTAAGTGGTCTTGGTGCCACTAGTTGGGACAGACACCACACCCAGGAGGTATGCGGGTTACACTACCATGCAGCAATAGCAGCTCAGTCTGTGAACTCGGTAGCTTCTTGCAGCTGCTTTGTACACTAAGACTTGGCTAGCAGTGAAAAAACTCAAAATGCTGCATGAAGTATTACTGGCTGTTCAACGGGTCAGTAATGAACCTGTAGTGCAGGCTGTGCTGCTGGCTTACATATTGGATGAAATGGGGGTACTGACCATCTGTGGCATGGTTTTTAAGAGACAGATGTTAATTCTGGTGCCCTGGCTAAATTCCATCTCAGGTAACTACATTCCATCTCCCTAAAATCACCTGTGAGGTTAAATCATACAGAAAATTCTTCACTTCCTTTCCTAAGCTGCCAGGCAATGTGCTATTCAACACCTGCTGCATTTCAGTGGCAGTTCAAATGATTCCTGTGTGTTGGTGTAGTTATCCCTGTAGGAACAGTGCTGAAGATTACCTAAGAATTCCCATTCTAAGACCCTGTTTTGAAAGTTGCGTTGCTTGTAACTTTCTGAAATGTTAACCTTCCTGTCGGCAAGTTCTCAGGCTTGGTCTCTGCCCAAGGGGGAATAGATTGGGAAGGCCTGAGCAAAAATGCTTCAGCCACTTTTGAGAATGAGGAAAGTGGAGAAAAAAACAATTTCCATGATGAAAAAAGAAAAAATGAAGTCACCTTTCTACCTGAGGTACTGCTATGGCCCCTATTACCACAGTAGCTGAGCACTAAACCATGGGACATAGGAACAGCTGTTATCCTCCTTTTACAGATGGGCCACTGAAGTACTAAGTGACTTGGCCAAGGTCACACCAGCAGGCTGTGGTAGAGCTGGGAACCAAATCCAGGCCAGTGTTCAGGCCAATGTTCTATCTGCTGGGCCATCCATTCCACACTCATCTAGCACCCAAATTGGTTAGACTAGAAAGATCAATCAGGGAATTAGCCACAGAGGAGAAGTGGCTTTGATTATTTGGCCAAGTGAGATGGGCTTGCAGGCTGCAGCTGACCCATGGGCTGAGTACAGGGACTGTCTCTTACTATATCTCTGTGAAGCACCAAACCTGATCTTAGTTTGGATCTCTAGGTGCTACCGTAATACACAGAATACTCACAAAAACTCTAATCTAATCTTGGTTTGCTTGGCTGGTAATTGAAAACCAAACAGGCTCTGGGCTGGAGCTATTACAGCGTATGCAAGCTCCTCCTAGTCCAAGGATGGGCACTTCCGTCCTTAGACACGTCCTGCTCAACAGCAGGCAGTTTCTCCCAGCAGGATCCCATTTCACCTTGCACCACCAGCCGAGTGGAGTGGCCCTGCACTTTGCTCTGTAGTAAACTGGGTTTACCGCTGCTTGTATCTTTTACAGCCCACACTAAACAGGCAGGGCTGTAACTAGACCATTTGCATGTGTGTGTACACTGGGGCAGAGCAGAGGCGGTGGGACGTGCAGGTAGAACTTCCAGCTTCATTTTTTCCAGTTACCAGGGCTCGGAGGTGGAATAAAGGGGAAATCAAGAAATTCAGGTGCTCCTGCTAGAACTTGTTCGGAGTCACCAGGCCACGTCTCTCCTTGGGGGAGGCAGAACTGGCTACTCCACAAACCCAAGGGCTTGCAGTGGCTGTAAAGCAGAAGCAACTATTTATTGC